GGTCTGTCTGGGGCGGAGCGGGCGCAGCGGCCCGGGGCGTTCTGCTGCCGACAGGGCCGCGCTGTCTCCGCTGCGCCACGAACCCGTGCGGTGTTCTCTGGAGATGGTGCAGGTCGCTGGCCGCGTTTGGCTGCTGCTCCTTGGGCGGTCAGACCCTGAGGGCTAGTCTCTGCGTCTCCCCCGGCGGTCTGCAGCTGTAATCGTAGCTTGCAACTATTTTTAATTCTTTTTTGGATGAAAAAACACTTTTATGCGGTATGGTCGAATTTATATTTTTTTCTCTTTTACCTGTAAAGGTCTTTTCAGGAAGGGCAGGCACAAGTATGGAAGGAAGCCAACGAAGGGACCACTCGGACAGTGTCTGAATGCAGTATTTCCATAAAGCCCCAGAAAACGGGCTTTTGAAATGATCTGTCGTCCTTAAAATTGACATTTTTAATGATGAGATTATTGCAAATTAGTTTAGTTTTTTCTTCATAGGTATATTCTCATTAACTATTGATCACAATTATGTCACTATTCTGTCATCAGATAAAGAGTTTACCTGTTTTTCTTTCTTCTTCTGCTTTTGCTTTAAAAAAGAAGCATCAAGGGCCTGCTTTGAAGCCAGATTGCAACAGTAGGAGCTTGTCCATTAACTTAAACAGACTCCGGTCAAATTCTCAATTGCAGCTGGTTCACAATTTTACTTAAAGTTTCTTTCAGTGGGAAAAAAAGAAACTTTTTTTTGCAAATTTCACTGGGAAAGACTTCTCAGCTTCCAGATGGAATTTCTAGTAAGAACAAGTGAGATAGTCACTCTGAAATAGTCTCACTCGAGATGTGGGAGTTTCAGATTTGTGCTCCTGCTTTGCCTGTTCCAGGCCCTCCTACATCTCGCAGAAATAGACTAAGGACTGGGATGTAAAATTGGTATCTGTCTTTCTAGACAAGTTAAAATTTAACTATTTATCAACCCACGTGCTCCAGAAAAGAGATTGCTGGAAAGCCTCTCTTGTTCCTTTTCCTTTACCAAATATTCTATGTTTCACGTTAACCATTTCCCAAGTGCATTACCAAGTTCATTATCCTGTGAAGGACTGGGGAAGGTTTTATTCTAAGAGAAAAAGATGTTTGAAAAGGAAGTGAACCCTATAATAAGGAACATAAACACTTGGTTAAACTACCAAAAAGCACAGGTAACTGCTGGTCTAAACATTTAATTTCAAGGAGTTGTGCAAAATCGGTACTAACGTTACCATTGTTTCTAAAAATAAGATACTACGCAACAAAAAACTCTGTAACCCGCAGAGCCATGCAATGAAACAGCTTTAATTAATCAGAAAGGAAATCATGCTGAGGACATCTCTATGTAATTAGCTGAACTGGATTTACAATCCCTGCACAGCACCAGAGCTGCCCAAAGGAGACTGTGAAGAACCCAGACTTGTTAGCTGGTGGCTCTTCCACTCACCCGTGGGCGGCAATGCTTGTGAATCTGTGTTTGATGTACTCGCGCGCTTCCTTTTTTTCCTCTTCTCTTACGGTCTTCTGTTGAGTTCCTGCACTTACTTGCTGCTCCTCACCCTGCAGCAACTCTCTGGCTCCAGGCACTCGCCCAAAGCTTGCACACAACTTCCTAGATTTCTTGCTGAGGTCTTGCCCTCCCAGCAGGACTGCGGGCTCTTAACGCTGGAAAGCTGTTCAGTTTCAAACTACTGGCAAGACAAATGCCTGTGTATCTGACACTGTAACAGCAAATAATCGCGTTTCCTTTCCATTTTATATTGTGGCGACTGTGTTCAGAAACTTTTAATGCAACAATGCAACCTTGTCACCTACGTACTCTGGATTTTGTTGTTGTAACTGATTTAAGCAGTTACGTAGTAACCTGCCCCCAACCCTCGCTAGAAATCTGAGTAAAGCTACTCGTTAGCTTGAGTTGTGTAGCAAATGGTATGTTTTAAACCATCAGCTTTGAAAGTACTGTATGACTTCAGGGATGGCAGTATGAAAAATAAATATTTCACATTAAAAGGTAACTTCTTAAAGACTCTATCCTTATTAAATAAACAAGACTACAGAGGGAGTACGGCCTTGGCTGTCACGATAAAGAAATGGAGCGTCACAAGCTGCTGCAGAAGGCTGTGTTCCACAGAGGTTCATCTTGACAATGTATGACTTTGTGCTTGGCTTGACAGCACTTCAGAAAAATGTAGTCTTAGTGACTTAGTAAAAGGCGAGCTGGCAAACTTTGGTGCGCTAGTTTAGGGTGTTGAGTCCCCCCCGAGTTTCTACCCTTCCTCAGTGCTAGAAGTTTCTGTTCCTGCAGAAGGGGCAGCAGAAGGGAGCGTGAGCCTGTTCCTCAATCCCCCAGAGCAACGCCCGTCGTTTTAAGACCGAGCGGTGGTTGTGGCGGCTCCCGCCTGCCCAGTCGCTCACGTCTGTGTGCCCTTGCACTCGTGCCGATGCAAGTGGTGAAACAAAGAGTCGGTTAAATCCCCCGAGAGGAGAGCAGCAATGTGAAGAACGGCTGACCGGGACGGCAGCTGGGAGCGCTCCCCTGGGAGGCTGGCTGTGCAGCCCCCAGCCTCAGCCGCTCCTCCAGACTCCCGTGCTGCTCGCAGCCCCCTCAGCTGTCACGGGGATCTCGGTGCAAGCTGTGATCACGGAAGCAGTCTCGGTTACATACACAAATATATCCCAGCCCCCTCCAATATGTGATTTTTCAATTCTGGCCCATTTCAGGGTCCCAGTTCATCATCTGGCCCCAAAACAGCGGTGCTGGTAACCCTGCTGGGGGACTGCGGGGTCAGTGAGACAGCAATAAGCAATAAGCAGTCTCTGCCCGAGGCCGGTGTACCACGCATGGCAGCGCCGGTTCCAAGCAGGGGCTCGCTCCACATCCCGCAGCACCGCCCCGCCGCGTGCCAGCATCCGCTATCGGCCCTTGGCCAGGAAGGGAGCGCCTTGCTCCAAAGCCAGCAGAGCTGTACAACCCTCCGGTCTGCACTTGGTCACCTGCTCCAGCCAGGTCCGAAAGCAGGGTGTGTGCTGTCCCTCAGGCGCGCCTGTGTTTCCAGAAATGTGCAGAACTTCAGGAGCTGACTGACGCAGTAGCAAAACTTGGCCAAGGGTACAAACTGGCCCTGAATACGTGTGGGCTGGAAAAGTGAGGAAAATATCTAGTGATCAGAGCAGTGAGGAGGGGAATAACCTCTCGATAGAATTAATACAGGCAAAAATCTTATTACTTGTAAGTTGGCGCCCCTTTATGGAAGGAGCTGCGCGACGGCGGGGCCCTGGGGTTGGTCTCTCCCTGCAGCCTGCCAGGAGCGTTCAGCACGGCGCTGCCCCGAGCGGAGGGACTG